TAAGCCGCCACAACGAAAGGATGCAATTTACCCTAGGCCCTCCACCATATCCTCAGGTTCGGTGGTTAGACCCCCCTGGCACCCACCCCAACCACCGAATCTGAGGATATGGTTTGAGGCCCTAAGGTGTTGAAAAAACTTTGTGGATTTTTCACTTCTGTTCTTGCCAAGCTTTGGAAGCTGCTTCCAGGTTCTTCGCTGGAGGTTCATCTTCCCACATGCTCCACCTCGCCACCTCGAACCAATCCAAGCGCCGAACTCCCACTCCCCAAAGCTCACTGAGGCGCCACCTTCAGCCCTTTTCACCGGTTGCCCGGTCGCGCGCGCCGCGCGCGCCGCATTCGAGCCTTGGAGCCCCAGGGGCCGAGCCACGACAACTTGCAGGCGCGTTCGATCACCTGCGGAGGACGAACGAACGCATTAAGGAGTGCTAAGCTGAATTCGAAGGATGGAAAAAGGAATGAACAGGATTCCAGACTGCGACTACAACTGAGACCACTGATATGGCTTATCGGCCATCTCTCATGCCTCTTCCAAACCCGGTTTCCGAGCATTTGATGCAAGAATTCAACCCCCCGGCCCCCGGCTTAGGTAGTGGGGCAGTTGACGGACATCTTGAAGAGTCCAAACGGGTGCCAAATGGAAACCAAAATGAGCAGCAAATCGTCCACATGAGAAGGATCCTTACACTTCTCATGTTTCGAACACATCTTCTGACTTTTCAGTTTTGCTTTCAGTTTTGCTCTCTTCACAGGTTCTTCATGTCGTTTCTTCATCTGATCGATCTCCCCACCTTGGGCACCTCGACCTTAGGGCGGCCTTCAGCGCTCAAGGCCTCGACCGCTGTCCGAGCCAGGTCGCCGTAGGGTACGGGTGAAAAACCGTTGAGCCGAACGGTTTAAACGCAAATGAATTCAACACGACATGCAGAAAAAAGGTCCAAACTCCGTGGTTGGTGCAATAGAAAGGCTGATGTGACCAGCCTTAAAGTGAAAACATGTGAAAACGCTGGGTTCAAAAGGACATCCATGAAAACACAATATATACATCCAGGCATGTGACATCATGTGACAATGAGCCTGGAGCTGGCGGCAACCATCTCAAAAGCACCATCAACAATTCACCAATTGATCGTGAGTTCGGATCCCCCAGCATTTGTCATCTCCACACGGATCTGACATCAGTTGTCAGTACCCAAACACAACCCATGGGACTGCCATAGGACTGCCGATCAGTTGGGGTGGTTTGGGGGGTCAATGTTTCGTGTCTGGGGTATCGAATCCCAAGAACCACATCACCAATGGTTCGGATATGTGCCAAACCTGTCGTAGGGTTGGGTATACAAGATCCGTTTGGGTGTCCAAAGCTCATGCGAGTGTATGCGAGTGTATGCCCCCTAAAACAGGAAGACCACGTGTGCTTTTGCCCTCCTTCCCAGTGGTGCAGATTTGGGGCACACCATGGAGAAAAAATCGATCGCGATGCAGCTTGATCCATTGGTTCTATTGGTTCAAGACAGGCCCATCTGCACCTAACATACCAAACCCAGCTCCTGCAACTAGGCCGCTCGTGACAATTTGAAGTCCTCGCCGGTGAGGTTTTCAACGATGATATTCACCTTCCAGAAAAGCCCCGAAGGTCGCGAGCCCAGAGGGTTGTCGTGCGCAAAACCAGTGGATGCATATGGATGCCATCTATGGTCTCAGCTCTCAGGTCTGTGTGCCCATCTACTACTCCCCACATGGCTGGCTACCCCAAGTTGCACATTGGACACTTGCACAAACACAAAGGGGCAAGCCGGTGACCCACTTTCAGACGCGGCAAGCAGGATCTACGATGACGAAACAGCACCTTCCGCGTGGCATGCGGTATTTGAGCACCACACACCATCTCCCTCACTCCTGAGGAGCAGGAGAACCATGCAATGCCACTAAAGCCTCTGCGAGGCGTAAGCATTACAGTACACCTGCCATTCTCCTGCTGGGAGAAGGGTTCCGAGCATCTGTATCAGTCAAGCTGCCTGGTCAACGACTTTCTACACCTGGATCTTCAAACATCTTCAAACGGCACTAATCTTGCCGGATGCATGTTTCAGTGAAAAACATGCCGTAATTAATACGATTAATACACATATTGTAATCCATTGTAGGGGTTGCATACAGGTGCTCAAAATCCGACGGGGAACGACGCCGTTTGGACGCCTCATCCACGCCGTTCACTTGGAAGCCTGTAAAGATTCCGTTTCTTTGTATGCTTTTCGGTTCTTTTTGCCAGTTTCCGCTGGTCGTCTTTAGTAAAAGGTCAATGGAATGGACACTTTCCGCTTCACGCGGCTTCACTCCACGTGTGACTCCAGGGCGCTCGTTTCCCCCGCGCCTCGCGCATGGGCCGCTGGTACGACTGGGGCGCCCTGGTTGAGGCGCCCCTGGTGGAGGACCGGCACTTCGCAGCTTCTGGTGGAGGACGTTTTCGGTAGAAGAGAACAGTCTGGTCTGCTAGTGACGTGGATGCTAGTTGATGTTGGTGTGGCCAAGCGTTTCTACGTGGGGCCCGGATGGGTGTGGGTCCTGCGGACCCCACGAGGTTGTCGCCGTCTCACCGTAGTGTCACCTCCGTTCCGCAGTGTGTGGGGAATATGATGGGGTGATCCTTCCGTTGTACCTGGACTAAAGGAAAGACATCGGGCTATATCGGGCTCAAAGGAGATGGACAGCTAGGGCCACAACAATCATTGGAACTTGAAGTTGGAGATCTCAGTTGCATGGGGTCTGTGGTCTTGCACACGCATGATCACATCATCTGTTTGCATGAATCTCATCAATAAGACAATCTAAGCCACTGCCCCTTGAGCCCGGCGTTCTGATTTACCATGAGCAACCACTTCACTAAACAGGACGGCATTGAACACATCGAATCCAACCGAATCAGGTGATTTCCTTTCACAAGCTCAGGACACGTGATGGATGTGCACTTGGTCTTTCATTCTGCTGTGAGCTTGTCCTTTCACCACATGTCTTCCAAACCTACACCGCTGTCGAAGGAACCGGTGGCGTGACCGGAGCCAAATGGTTGGATCGCGAAGGGTGCGTTTATAGGTAGCAAACGCTCTGATTAGACACCATTCATCAGCATTCCATTTGAAGGATGCTTAGATTCTGAATGCAAGCGATCCCAAAGTGGTTCCCTGGATCGGTACGAGCTGGCAAAACCTTGTGAAAGATCGATCGACCTCTAGGGCGTTGCCGGGGATGTTTAGTTCCAGAATGAGGAGCAAAAATACACACAAAACATCACAAAACATATCAAAACATCAACAAAACAAGTCAAACGCTGTTCCTCTCATCCAGACCACCTTTTTACAGCGGCACATCCGGCGAGTCGACTCCACTTCTACTATCCGCACTCTCACCGGTGCCCACTGTAAAACCTACGGCTGGCCATGGCCACCTCGGCCGCGCTGGGCGCGAAGGGCACGACCGGCGACTTTCGGATCGGGATCGGCAGACCGTCGACCAGTTCCATCCATCTTTAACGTCTTTTGGGTCGATCATGGTGGGTCGTGAGGGCGTTTCTCCTTGACGGAGCCGGTGAAGTTGGTGTTGGCCGTTTTCGGCCCAAGCGGCTTCCAGGGACCTTCCTGCAACGAGAGTTTTGGCCAATCAAATTGAACACAAAACGAGTAGCAACAAATCAATTCTGTGATGTGAGAAGATGTTCAGTACCGGCCTCAAAACACCAAACCACGGTAGACATGGTAGGATATCCTCGATTTGATGCAGGTCCCAACCATCGACATTGAAGAACGAGGTAATATAGACCCCCACTTAGACCCCCCTGACTCCTAACTACGCATTTTCCATGCAATAATACAAGGCAAGGGTAGTTGCATGGTTTGAGAAAACTTGGATGGCAAAAAATCTGACTGAAGCATGTTCTCTCATCACGGTCTTCCGCCGGACCACAGACATGGGACGATGTTCCTCTCAGAAGACTCACCACCCAAACAAAGGGCGTTCGGTGGATGGCCTCGAATGACTCATGGTGGATCTATGTGAGTTTTGGGCATGCTACGAAAGACCCGCCCACCTGAGGGTGTGATATGGTGTCATATTTGAGGGGTGAGGTGACACTGATCTTATATAATATATAATCGTTGTTGGTTCTTTCCGACCTTGCAGGTCCTTTAGTCTTTGGGGGATCTCCCTATGCATATATGGATCCGTGATCAAAGGTGACACTTTCGGAGTTCTCTGTGGGTTCTCCTCGGTGAAGATGAAACAAAACGCGTTTGGTCAAGTATTTTTTAAAGAAAATGTTGTCCAAAGTTCACGCCGGAGAGGAACAAACACCCGGACTGCAAGGCCGCTGCGGCGCGCTCTCATCCACCATCGCCCTGACAGGATGCTGTTCGGGAGATGCTCTATATATCCCAGACACTCCATGCATGGCATATGGACCCCTAAAACCACCCCAATGTAGGTAAATATGCCCTACGTGGAGTGTTTGGGTATAGCCAGTCATGCCCCACATGATGTGGGCACACGATTCGGATACGATCACCCGTCGATACACATCTCCACACGCAGCGAATCCATTGGACAGTGGAATCTAGGCCCTAGGCCTTCAAATCGTTTCGCCCTTCCACTGTGGAGCCTTTGTACTTCCAGTGTGGAGGCCCGTCTAGCCAGCAAAAACAATATCGATTGATTCCCCAACAGCTCAAACAAACAACAAAACACTAATAAAGGTGGACTTCCACATGGCAGGGTGGCTTCTACACATGGCAGCTTCAGTCTGGGCGGGTGTGTGGTGGAGTGTTTACTTGCCGTGTGTGGGTGACTTCCCTATGGCTTCTACGGGGAAACAGTCTGACCATACAATGGGGGGGGAATCAATCAAGCCAAGGACCCCTCTCATGCTCCTGATCTCTCCCCATCAGTGCATGGTTGAACTATGTTTGACTTCCATGGTCCTTTCTCCTGGAGGGTGGCCCAATGTAGCCCACCTGGCGATGGATCCGCCGAACTCTGTTTGACTCTCCGCGGTTTGGCTCAAAGAACCTCATCTTGAATCTCTGCCCATGTCTCCTCTCAGGTTTCCTGAGTGGAAGCGAGGTCCCAACAGACTTTTTGACGAGGGCAACGAACAAAATGATGAACGAATACTGGTGGCCCTATTTTTAAAATACTGACCATGCCAGCATCCTAAAGGGTGCCAGACCTTGGCTGCACATCATGCATCGCAGCATGGCAAGTGGGAGCATGTTGCTGCAATGTAGTCACCAAGGCCGGCAAATGCGCTTGCAAAAGCTCATAAGTCTCAGGAGAATGTTGCCCGAGTGCTGCCAAACACTCGGGCACATGTGCATTGACCACGGCAAGGCTTGCTGCATCCCAGGATTGGTTCGACGATGCCAGTGCCCTCAGCGCCGCATATGACTCCGGCGCATGACGTTGCATCACAGCATGAGCCATTGATGTGCAAGCCTGCAAGGCTGCATATCTGTCCGGCGCATGAGCCTCCAGGGAGGAGTGGAAATCACTGCGGAGCGCAAACATTGACAAACCTTCGTGAGCTGAGGAGCCACTGGACATGGAAGAAGGAATGCTCCTGAAATGCACTGACTGGCCAACGTTAGCTGAGATGGCTCCGCTGGAAATGGAAGGAGTGCGGCTGCCATTCAGGCTTTGGAGTTCTCCCTGCTGTTGGCATAGAGGACAAAGGGCACGGTGAGCACACGAATGACACATCCAAAACCCTCCGTGCTCGGTGCAGCGCAACTTGCACTGGGCTGCTTCGTTGCACCGGAAACACCTTGGAAGCCGATCCCAGGTTCTTGTTGAAGGGGAATACGAAGAGGCGGAATATGTGTCCGAAGACTCCATGAGAGCAATGCCACGGCTGCACGGCTTCTCAATGCCTCGGCTTCAGCCTCTTGAGGCCAAAGAAGCCTCCCTTGAAGGCTACATGCATGCCGCACCAACGACCCCGCGGATGATCCGTAGACCGTAGCGGCGGCGGAAGGATGAAACGAACACCCAAACAAAGCACCCAAACCATGTCCCAATACACGACGTCCTCGGGAAAGGTTGCCCTCCAGTCGGCTGGTCTCACACCCAAACCATTGGTTTCGCATGGCTTCACCGTGGAGAAGAGAAATGTGGAATCCTCTTCTGTCACCACGGAGTTGGGGTCGGAAAAACACCTGAACCATCCGACCATCGTCCGTGTCCTCAGGACATCGAGTCGAAGATGGTCTTTCAGTCTTTCTATAGACGGCCCTGGTCCTGCCCATGGAACATCTCCCTACTCCCGTGGTTTCCGCCGGTCTCTCAGCTCGCTCGATGGATGCACACGCACCCCTGCGTGCTGACCCGGCATACCCAGATCGATGCGTCCTTCACATGGTCATCGGTGTTCGGGGCCAAGGACAGGTGAAAAAACACACTGCGCCTCTCTAGTTCAGACAAGCCTAGGTCCAAACGCGGTCCAGGTGAATCCAGCTGGGTGATACTTGGCCTAAGTGGATCCAGGCCTTGCCACCACCAGCACTGGCAACCAGTACCCTTTTTGAGTCGGCTGAAACATGTAAACCAAACCCCAAACACTCCATGAGAATGGATGAGAATGGCATATATGCCGATCAATTGACCCCCCTGGCACCACCCCTTGCCTTTTCTCAGCAGTCCCACTGGCAGTCCCAGTCGCGGTCGCGGCTGGGAACCAGCCAAACTGGGATCCACTGGGTGCGAACGCTTGAGGACGATTCTGATCCCTCGTGGACACGGTCTGACTCACCCGTGAACGGTCACCCGTCTCCACTGGTCTCCACACATCGAGGGTCCTCCACCGGTCTCCTCCCGTCTCAGGGTCTCGCCTGGTCGTCGCTGAGACCTCCACTGGTCGAGCGCCGAGCACGACGAGCGGTGCCATGTGCCCCACCAACGACCGGGCGGCGGACGCTCAGCACCTCCACAAGGTGAAAGAACCAACATCCCCGAGATGCGCCCGGGACGTTGATGGGTAGCATTTGAGATCCACCCACCGACCTTTTGGGGAGTGTGCCATCGAACCGCTCGATTTATAGTGGCATGTTCCTCTCTGATCCACTTGGCTCAGAATCGGCATCCAGTCGCTGGCTCCGATTCTGATCTTGGTGCAGCGGCCGTGGCGAGTCACGAGTTCTCCGCCCTTGGACAGGGTGGACGAGTTCTCTAGGGCCACAGCTGGCAGATTTATATCTGTACCTTGAGTCTCCAAAGACCTTTTTTTTATGCGTTTTTGTTTTTGGTCTAATATTTTTGCGTTTTTGCTCGAAACACGCGTTTTTAGAGATGAGGACTCAAAAAAAAGGTGCAGAGTGAATCTTCATCCGGACGCGTCCGGCACGGACGCTTAAAGACGCCTTTTGGACGCAAAAAGACGCGTTTTGGACGCCGAAAAAAGGTCTCAGGACACTGTCTAAGGAGGATCTGACAGGGCACAAACAAAAAAGGAACATTTCGTGACATATATGCAAAAAAGAGTGCTTTCTTTCAAAAACATCTTTTTCTTGGAAAGGCAAATTTAAAAGGGTCATTGGAGACTCAAGGTAGATGTCGACGAGGAAAACAACATTTGAGGAGGTCTTTCCAATTCAACTGGGGAGCTTGAAAAATCAAGACGATATGTCTTGATATGAGAACTACTACCCGACATGGGAACTTACCCCATCGCACATGAACTTGTCCCACCCCCAGTAGCAACCACAAAGTTTCTGTCTGACATGCAGGGACCAGTCAGTCCTCATCTGCATGTCTCTTGCAAACAACCTCCCGAAGCCATCGTTCCTCAAAGAAGTCATGAGAGAGATCAGCCAATAGCTGGGTGTGATAGGTCTCATGTGCTGCTGACAGCTTCATTGGTGCCTCACACCGGATGTTCTGTAGGCAGCCTGACTCAGCCACACTGACTCTGGCAGCCTTCCACCCCCACCGGTCGCGCGAGTCCGACTTCGCCTCGTTGCACTGGAAAGGCCTCCTGGCTTCGCCGGAGGTGAGCCAAACGGCTCGTCCGGTGCGAAAAGAGGGGGGAGACAGATTCGGTGGAGAGCAGAGAGGGCCGAAGAAGCTCTGGAGGCACCCCTTTTTTGCTGCGAAGAGTTGTTGAGGCGAAGAGTTGCCTTTTTGGGGGGGAGGGCATCACTTTCAGAGAGAACACCGGGGCATGGTTGATTCCAAAGAAACCCAACCAATGGGAAGATGAGGTGAGGCCTCGCTCGAAATGTCGGACACCATGGGCGTTTGCTGTTGGGACCTGATCCCAAACCAAGCTTGGCCAGCGAAGACATGAGTCTGGCTGGGGGTTGGGAATGCTCTGGTCTCTGATTTTCTCAGTAGGTTCCAACAAATTGGAATAGGTGCACAAACCCATGCAAATATGTGTTCGCTTGTCCCTGAAGTGTCAGCACGCTTGCGGGAGTTGTTGGCGGATGTTGGCGGTCATCTGCTCAAAGTATGTCTATACAGCGTATACATTCAGTGTCATATACTTGCGAGAAGCGTCAAACCCCGAAAACCACACGCCTCACCCTCTCCCTGACCCCTGAAAAAGGTGACAGTTACACTGCACACCTCACAAACCTCCCCCCTGCAATATCCTGAGCATCTTCTCTGTGTATCTCTTGGGAGGCGAGATTATATCATAAATGGAGCACCCAAGTTGTACTTGCTAGTAACAAGTGCATCGCTATGAACAGGTGCATCGCTAGCTAGCTAGCATAACTATAGCAGCTAGTAGCTCGCCCAAGCAGGTTCTCTTTTTGGACCTATCGACCCCGAGCTCGGGATCACCGAGCTGCTCCGTCCTCATCGAAGTCGCCCCGATACTCGTCGTGGAGGTCCGCGCGGGAATCCTCCAGCATTTGACCGTTGGGGACGGCACCTCACTTGCGCATGCAACATTAGCTCACCTGTACACGCATCGATTTAAACAAGTACCAAACCCGTGTCTGTACCCTTTAAGACTTTAAGAGGCAAACCCGTGACGGTCACGAGAACAGCCGCGGCGAAACTTCTGCCCTAAAAGGCTCAAGCATGAACGTTTTCTATGACATACTTAATGTTATGATGTACCTAACAGCCTAACTCTGAAAATCTCATAATACTAATGATGGGCTTTTTCATGGTTGTTCCATATGTTTTTCCCATTTTTTCCCCATTCCCTGGGCCTTAGTGGATGGGTCAACCCATCTCACGTGCTGGTGACATCTAAAGGCCCTACAGTCGTCCAGTCTGACCCAGTAAAACCTGGTCCAAACCTCCTTGAGTGTTTTTGTATGACCAACTTCAGTATTTCATGAGGTCATTGACTTGACAAGTACCAGTACCCAAACCATGTATGCCGATCAGTTGGAGTGGTTTGAGAGGTCATATGACGTGTAGTGTCTGGGGTATATAATTACTTGGCCCGTGAAGAATCGTGCCTTGGGACAGCTTTGCGAACCAACGGAAGTGATTCGATGATCATTAATTGATGATCACGAATACATAAATGACAAACAAGCATTTGGGATCTCATCAAAATCACCAGCACTCCTGAACATCGTTTGTTCAAGCTCCTTGTGCCATCCAAGTTCCGCAAACAAGGAGTGCACCGTGCCTCTCGCATTCAATACAAATTACGGCCTTGGAGTTACACTACACCTCCTTTAAGAAAAGAACCGCTACAAACACTTGCCAGCACCACCCATGCTCGGGTGTTTGCTATCGACCCCCCTGGTATTTCAGAGGTCTTTCCATCTATTGCAAGGCTACTGGCGAAGCTCACATACATGAACTAGGGATCCAGTCGTACGTTCTCAGAAGGTACTTGGACCCTCCAAACCTACATAACAGTGTCTCCAATCACCTACTGAGAAGGTACTTGGATCCCTGGGGATTAACTAGATGCATCGGGTGCATTGGGGTGGTGTGTCTTTTCTGTTTTCTTTGACATGGTCAGTGGGAGCGACGAAGTCACGCTTCTCCTGACGAAGTCGCGCTTGCCATCCAAACCCTCGGGCAGAAGGATACTGAATTCTGTGGGTCTTGCTTTAAAGATCACACAGGAAAACCATATACCAGCACATGCATATATGATCATATACGATTTATATGGACACATCTATGAGTCCTATGGACACATCTATGAGTCCTATTGTGTCTGATGACTTGGGTCACAGAATTCCAACACTCCAGCCATGTGACCGTTGCGGTGTCTGATGACCGGTGAGTCCTTGTCATCGGCGTACGACCCATCCTGCAGGTCACGTGTCAACGTGCTGGGCGTGCCTGGTCACTCCCTGGAATCGTTACGTGGATGGCATGCCCGATGACAGGGTGGTGTTCACTCGACGCCGCCACCCTCCGTGCATGGTCCGTGCTCAAGGAACATGAGTTTGGGCCTTCTTAAACTCTTTACTCACCATGTGTCTTAAAACAGACCTAGAGAGGTTTAACAGCCCTAAGGTCGCCCATCCGATATGTACCACATCCCAGGCTCCAAGTTCTGGTCTCTCAACCTCTCTTGGGAGTTTGTACCACCACCCTTGGGGTGTCTGCCGTCCAGGCGGCCGTGGGACGTGGAATGACCGAGTCATCCGTCGGCGCTGGAACCGTTGGAACCTCTTTTCTTCGTCGATCTGCGAGAAACGGAGGGTTTCATGTGCAACAGTTGCACATTTCACGTCGAGTTCGGCACAACAAATTGTTGAGAAGAACCTCCCACGTCGAGTTCCGTGCTTCCTTCTTTGAAAAAGACACATGAACCTCCATTCGTCGCTCCTCCTCTCTGCCGTTGTACCGGGCAGCGCCTGCAAGAGCGAGCGGCTGAAAGGTATCAGATGGCGCCAGGTGCCTGGCCTTTGGGATGGGCCCTTTTATAATATCGATGTATACGTCCAATCAGTAGAAAACACATTGATACTATCAGGCGGACATCCTTCTGCTGGTTCTATTAAAAAAAATCCGGCAACGTGCTTCAACACGTACAATCCGATCAATCTGACTATAAGATCTAGAATCTATAAGTGACCACTTTCTTCGCTGAAGGCCACAGGCGAGAATAACAGTCACGGTTGAAAAATTGCATGCTGCGCAGCGGCTTGACTTAGTCATCCTGGCTGGACTTCCCAAACAGCCATATCAACTCACAAAACGTCAGAATTTGAGGCTGCGGCCCTGGCCCGAGCCCCCGCAAATTAACTTCCTCATCATCCTGCCGAAGCATCAACCACCCACAATCTCCTGCCTTTGCTTCTGCCCTTGCCCTTGCCCTTTCGGCTCTTCCCGTAGGGCCCTGGCCCGACACGTATATACGTCACACGACTGCCTGGGGAGGACAACGCCATCCGAAACCCCCAGAGAAAAACAACAAAATGCGGATTTACATGGATTTTACCCATGGGAGTTCATGATTCTCATGCGGTTGTAGGCTGTCTACATGTCAGAAGTTGGGGGAAGCAACTGGTGGGCGTGTACAGCAGCCTGCCCTGCTGGCGCAGAATCGGATCCCCAAAGACCTCTGAGTGCTTTCCAGGCTCTGCAAAAACACCCGTGACGCTAGCTGCACGCGCGCGCGCACCGCGGGTCCCGCCTTCTCCAGCACGGTCCCTGGTGGCGCGGGTGGCGTGGTCTCGACTCGCCGAGAGGGTCCGAGTCGAATCACTGGGCACGGTGAATGCCTCTTGCCGCAGTTGACTCGGTCGATAGTTGATCGCCGATAGTTGTAACGCCCCCATCTGCGAACACAGGAATTCTAGGAGAGTGGTGCTCCTGTCACATCCACTCACTGGATGGGACCAAAAACCATCCGTTTGTGACTCCTGGTCATTTTGATTTGTGGGGTGCAATTCAACATGCTTATA